TATATATATATATATATATATATATATATATATATATAATGTGTGTGTAGATTATTCTAGGCTACACCATTCTAATGTTATTCTAGGCTACACCACTCTAATGGTGAAGTTCAAATTTTCTACTCCTGCATGTAAACTACCCTTATAAGTTCATAAATAACTTTTGATTATAAATTATTAGTATATTTGAAGAAGGATACTTTAGTCATTTGCACTCCCTCCAACATTCAACATCCAATTAAAAAGGTTTCTTTTGACTTTTTGAAACATGTTTGCATTTTTAGAGGCAATTTAAGATCTATAGATGCTGTTAGCGTGCGGGCTTGCCCGCGTGCTAACTTCTAATCACCACCGTCCCACTTTGTTGGATGGTGATGATTGAAAGATAGTCTTAATCACCACCTTGGACGGTGGTGATTGGAAGTTGGCATGCAGGTAAGCCCGCATATAAACTTTTTCCTTACAAATATGCTCGTTCTTGAAATTTTCAAACATGTTATTGCTGTTGTAGTTTTGAAATTTGTAAGGTATTTTTGTGGCAAAAATTTTCAGAGTAGCTTCCCCATTAGAGTAGTGTAGCCTAAAATATATTTGTGGGATTGGTGTTTGGAGCAATATAAAAGAGAGCCATTTGCTTACATGCTTCCCATTTGGTGATCTTTGTTAATGTCCTCCAATTGCAAATTACTTGTTTGCACAATATGGCTGGTGTGCTAAGTTATAATTGAAGCATGTTTATTGCATTGCTCTATTGGGGCTTATCTCCTGCATTTATATATGTTGGCCAACTGAAATAATTGGCTCAATTGTGTAGCTTTGCTTTTGCACATTGATGAATAGTTAAAAAGACTATGAAGCCGATGAGTATTTGCAATGATTGGTGGGTGCATTATTCATCCAAAAATTTAGACATTTGCAAAGTTCAATGGGAAGTTATTTCATATAGGGGTAGGGGCAACGCTTCTATACATCGGTGATATATTGTAAGCAGTTGAATAACATTATCTCATTGCTGTCTAATCTACTTTCTAAAATTCTACAGTTTTTAGGAAGCATAGGCCTTTCTCCTACTATACTGTGTTAGTTATATTCGGAATGGGGATCAATTTCTGTGATTTTTATAGATGGTAAAACCTAGAATTAGAGGCATTGGTATTCACACTCTAATTCTTTACCAGTTTTCTGTCTCTCTCTCTATTTCAGAATGTTTTGGCGAGTTTTGCATGAAAAGATAAATAATTGGCATGAATAAATATCTTTTTCTAGCTTTGGCATAAACAAAACAACATCCCAGTTTGTTTCATGCAGGACACCTGTAGATGAAATCAAGAAGCTTCGATTGATCACAGCAATCAAAACACCCTATTTACCGGATGGGAGATTCGACCTCGAGGCTTATGATGCCCTGATTCACTTGCAAATACTGAATGGTGTTGAAGGTGTTGTAGTGGGAGGTACCACTGGTGAGGGGCAGCTCATGAGTTGGGATGAACACATCATGCTTATAGGGCACACTGTGAACTGCTTTGGAAGCTCCATAAAAGTGATTGGAAACACAGGCAGTAATTCAACTCGTGAAGCCATTCATGCAACTGAACAAGGCTTTGCGGTCGGAATGCATGCCTCCCTTCAAATCAACCCTTATTATGGGAAGACGTCTCAAAATGGGCTAATCTCCCATTTCCAAAGTGTTCTTTCTATGGGCCCAACCATCATTTATAATGTGCCCTCGAGAACAGGCCAAGATATCCCTCCCTCAGTTATAAAGAGACTCTCCGAGAGTAGTTATTTTGCGGGTGTTAAAGAGTGTGTAGGTGATGCAAGAATCAAAGAATATGTGGATAGAGGCCTTGTGATATGGAGTGGCAATGATGATGAGTGCCATGACTCGAGGTGGGACTATGGGGCTCATGGGGTTATATCAGTGGCTAGCAACTTGGTGCCTAACTTAATGCATGAGCTGATTTTCCGAGTAAAGAATGAGTTGCTTAATACTAAGCTTTTGCCATTGATAAAATGGTTGTTTTGTGAGCCTAACCCTATTGGGCTCAATACAGCCTTAGCACAACTTGGGGTGGTGAGGCCTGTATTTAGGCTCCCTTATGTTCCCCTTCCAATTGAGAAGAGGAGGGAGTTTGTAGATATAGTGACAGACTTGGGAAGGCACCATTTTGTGGGAGATAAAGATGTTAGGGTTTTGGACGATGATGATTTCATATTATTAGGTCGATATTAGGGTTTTGTTGTGGTTTTTGAGACAATGCAAAGGTGCAGCAGCTTGAATTGGCGTTGTCAGTTTCGTAAGGTTAGGATGAATCATCAAATTTTAAAGTGTAAACATTTTGGAAAAGTTCTTGGAACCCATTATTTATTTTGCTTGCACTTTTTTGGGTAATTTTTATTCGGTCAGTTTCTGGTTGCCCACTGTAAGATATCTTTTCTTTTATTACTTTTCTAATTGCGTTGGATTTTAAACCACACCCACAGCCTCACAGCGAATGTCTTCCAATTTAGTTGTTGGTTTCAATTTTTAAATATATGATGATTCGATAATTTTAGATCAAAAAGTTCCTCTCAACTACTATGCTTTATGTGGTGATGCTAGACGGTAGTCTTTTTCCGTGAATTAATCTGCAACTTTTCTCGTCAATAAGTTGCCCTCAACTATGCTTTTGGAGATTAATCCACCCAAAATAGTACGTGGCATGACAAGACACGCATTACAATGCTACTCATGTTTTCTACATCAAATGTGATTATAGATAATTTATGGGAGTTTTGGATGGTCTTTTATATTAGGGGAAATATCGTGGGCGAATTCTGTGGCAATGTAATGCGACAATTCCATGTTAGTTACCTCGCATTATAAAATGAAAATTCTTTTTATTCAGATGATTTCAACTATCTGTTGAATTAACAGTAGGTCCAACAATAGGTTCTATATGTTGATCAAGCTATCTTGTCAGGTTTGGCAGGCCAGTAGAAAGCAAGCAGCTTAACAATAGAAATTTTAAAGGCAAGCAATCCCAAAACAGAATTTTTAAAAGCAAAAGCCTTAGTATGGCCGGTGGAAGTTTCTGACAGCAATGGTCGCTGGTATTACCCTTGGTACAACCATGGAATTTCGAACGCCTCTTGGAATTTTTGGCGATTACTGATTCAATCGCATGACAATAATATCCAGAATCAAATTAGAAGAAGGTGGCGGGAAATTAATTAAAGCTTGCATGCTCAAATCAAGTAAGCACATGACATTTAAGTATCTAACTATTGAGTTACCTTGAAAGCTCAATCAAGTAAATAAGAATGACTCTGATGCATGAGTTACCTAAAGAGCTCAAACCAGTAGGTTGGGTTCTCGTCTTTCGTTTGAATAGGTAAGCGTCAATAAGTTACCTACCCGTATGGTGAGGTTGAGCAACTAATTTCTTTAGAATCAATTTCCAAAATCATGTTCCTCGTACATTTTTTTTTTTGATAACTTCATGTTCCTCATACTTATTGTCAAATGGTAGAAAAGTATTTATTAGCAAAATTGGGCAGCTGAAATTCATGTTTAAGTAAAAATTGTTTTGTAAAAAAAATAATATATTTGATATATCAAATGTTTAATCAAAACCGATAAATTCCTGGTAGAAGAGTCTAGTGAGAGCATGTGATAAATTACCCACCAAAAGTATCCTGAACAATATTCAAAGTTTAAAACATAATGAGTACGTCAAAGTTAAAATAACACCTTATGCTTGTTATAGGCGCCTTTGGATATTGAATATCAGAACCACAAACAGGAATCAAATGACAATAGCTTCTATGAACTATTGGGAAGATCGTGGAGAACGTAACAAATGAAATCAACCTCAAATGACAGCATCCCTCTTGGAATCTATGCTAAATCTCTGTTGGAGGGCGTAAGTGCACCTTCTATAGTGTATGCTTGTCTGCAAAAGGTTATACTGAACACTCTGGATTAGACTGCTATTTTTCAGAAACAAGCAACTATTTTGTTCTTACCCATACGTATATCAGTTCCAGACGCTACCCTACATGGTCCATGATGACAGATTTTTACACCTTGATCTCCACCTCATTTTCTCCCTTATCTCTACAACATCGGCTGTAAAAGAGGTTTGCAGCCCAGCTCCAAGAAAAAGGAAATGGAGAGTTACGATCTTCGTGAATTTATGTATTGCCTGGCCTACTTCTCCGCCCGACTCGGTTAATGGAAGCAACTTGTCTCCGCCATTCATGAATTGGAACCTGCACGTCATTGATATCAAGGTGGGAAAAGTTGCATCTGTTGGAAAACGTTAAAGTATTGCAAGAAGTTGGATACAGCAAAATCCATACCGCTGGAAAACCTCCATAATCACCAGGCTCGGTGATGTCCTTTGTGACGCAACTGTTAGCTGCAAACCGTACCTACAGCTTCTTGGGAATCAGTACCTAGCTTCTGCACACAATATCATCAAAACTGCATACTAATATTGCTAGTGTGACCCAAATGTTCAACGGTTTTTTATAATCATGTAGCATAACCTTAGAAAAAGTAACTAGAATTTAATTGCAGATGTCTGATGTACAAGTCACTTTGGCTTTACTTCATTTCCTTTACTTTTTAAGAGGCCGGCTTATTTCATTTTAGCTGATGAGTTGTGTATGAGCCACTTGGCTCTAATTCATTAGTCTAAATCAAATTTACATTTAACAATTACAATATATAAAACAATGGAGCCAGGACGAGTTTTTCAAAATGTCCAACATCAAACATGTTGTCAAGTTGACACGGACAACATGCCTACACAAGGCAATACAGCAAATATATGTCTCCATGCGTGGATACCTCAACTCTTCATATAATCACTCATGCCATTCCGCATGGATGAAATAAAGATCGAATCAATAGCATACCATTTGTTTGTTGGTTGAAAGATACCACGTGAAAAAATAAATATATAAATGTAACAATATGTAGGAATATGAATCATATTAATATAAAATGTTCTTTACATCATCTGTAGCAATTATCTATTTTAATTAATAATAATGGCAATATTTTAGATTATTCTTAAAAGTGTATAACATGCATTATTGTATTAAAGGATATAAATCTATGTTGTCCATATAATTCATTATATTTATGTTTAAATTTCATATTCCCAAAAATCAATTGTAGGTTACAAGTGACTCCAACAGGATATGACTATAGTTATTGAAATTTGCGTGTCCATAAGAAGACACATATGGCTTGTGTTACATGCCATACCTCTGTCGAACTTCCAACCATATCCTGGTAACAGAGAGATTAGCAAATTGCAGATACGAACTACATAGAATGACATCAACAATCAACTGGGAGAATGACAAAAGCACATTTATACATACAATCAACAAAGAAAAGTCAAACAATAGATACAATCAAGTCTTTTCCAATGGGGACAATTTGAGCAAGGAAAAGCCAGCTAGTTGCAATTTATATGCCATATTGGCATACTATAATTTGTTGTCATTGATGTCCAGGTCTTGCTTTAACTAGTAGCTACTACTTTATGTAATATCATAGCCAGAAAAATAAATACTCAAATATATTTATTTCGGTTGATTGAATTAATACCTTTGAAGAAATTTTAACATGATCTCTTATGGCGACCTTCCCTCCCAATGTAACATTGTCCCCGATCCTGTCAATAGAGATGGGGGAGACTATAAAAGCAAATGCGCAAAATCCGAAAACTTAAGAGAGTTCTACCAAATTCTCATTATCACCATAAAAGGCATTGAACTTTTGAGGAAAACAAATGAACATGATACTTCAAACAATCCGACTTAAAGAAAAGATCACGTACATAACAGAACCTGCAACCCCGACTTGACCGCAAATGATGCAACATTTGCCAATGACTACATTGTGAGCTATCTGCAACATTAAGAATGATCGCATCAGTGATCTAAGAAGTCCTAGTAAACATTGGCATGCAATCCATCTGCACTACGAAACTTTGCTCATCATAAGCAAATAAATTTAGATGTCAGGGAAATGATCAGGCATGTGAAGACGCATGCAGGCAGTAGGACAACCTGGACTAGATTATCTATCTTGGTATGATCTCCTATAACTGTGTCTCTCCAACTGCAGGTATCAACAAATTGAGTGCTCAAAATATCATTGGCTAACAAAAATCGAATCTACATTCATTTATTTACATTTACAATTATTAGAAAAAACTCAAACAGTACAGTTTCATGTTTTCACGATCTATCCGATAACCTCTCAAGCAAAGAGATGGACTAAACTTTCTATGATGGTTAACATAAGGACGAAGAAATTAGAGGCCCACCTGCCCCGATCAATGCATGAATTAGCACCGATTTCCACATGGTTCCCAATTCTCGCATACAACAGCTACGGCACAGAAGCAATACAAGAGGCATCACTTATCTCAATGCAGCTGCATTTTCTAAGACTTTAGTCCCATTTTCGTAATTTCACTCAATTTTTTAGAAGAAGATTACTTTTGAAATGGAAGAATAAATCAAACCTCCATTTTCATAAATGTGATTTACAATAAAAGAAAAGTCAGATACAAATAATTAGAATATCACTAACTTGGGGTTTCTTCACCAAGTTTCCATGAGCATCCACCAGAAAGCCAAAGCCTGTTTAAAGGAGAGTCATTAGTACCTTATAATAAAAAAGAAAATCTGTTTACACAACTCTTCTAAGTAGTAATGCTGAATTTATTAATGGACTCATACATGCAAATGAAGAAGAATTACTTGAAGGAACCACATGCCTACTCTAGAAGATAAAAGAAAAAGTATCATCACTATTTCTAGAATGGAGAGCATAGAAAGTATTAAATTTAATGATAAAGCCTGATATGAAAATGCAGAAGGATTCATTGCAAAGCACAATTCATCTGTCCCAAAAAAACCAGCTACACACACAAGCCACTGAATAACATTCTCCACAAGCCACAGCTTCCATGATAGGAAGGACTTCAAGTGAGGGTAAACACCATTGTTTTGCAAGTAAATGGCTACCCATCAAGAGCAAACAGTAAGTACACCAAATGATATATCATACCATTCATATGCTCCAAACTGCTCAATCGAATTTGGATGGTTGGTATCACAGGAGTCTTTAATTTTAATTTTTTTTATAAATAACATTGGCTAATTAGAGGCGTGTGCTTCACACCATCATGCAGCGAATCAAAATATAATAAAATATTTCACATAAAATAAGTTGATCAGAATAACACCTGAAATATTATAGGCGTTTATGTGGAGTACTGTTTTATTTCTTTATCAGGTGCACCGTGCTAAGGTACACACCTCAAGCAAGTAAACGGGATAGGTAAAAAATAAAAAATAAAATTTAAACATTATCAGATAACCATGGCAATCCAATGAAATTTAGATAGTGTTGAGCCTATGAGCACCCACTATAGAAATTCACTCCAAGCAATTTTTTGAGTGCTCTGTGTGTGTGGCTGGCAAGATGATGCAATAAACTGTGGTCTTTGATGATCCACTTCAAAACATTTCTACTTATATTGCACCTACATTCAGAATAAAGAAATCTAGGGTCTAACATGTTAACTATAATATTTAATAAAAAATAAAACTCAACCATAAGCATAACCAAAATACATCAATGAACAAGTAAGGAAATATTATTCAATATGGAATGCTACCAATTTACACAAATGTGGTCCATACAAGAAAAATGATGGCCTCAATGGTCTTTCTTTTCTCACAGAAGGCTAGACTAGAAGCACCCTATGTGGAGCATGTGGTGCTAAGGTAGGTATGAAAGGTGTGGCTATGTAGAATTCTGAAGTATAAATTCAAAAGTAATTTCTCAAAAAGAATTCAAAAGTAATTTCTCTTATCTTTATCAATAACTGGATTCTATACTTATAATTGCCATAATAAATGCAAAAATAGAAAATAAACACGCTACAATCTAGGATCTTTAATTCTTACTGCCAAAAGAAAATTTATTCAAAACTGTTTTCAAACTTATAATATGAATTCCAATACAATTAGGAATTCTAATCTCAGTAGGAGTCCTAGTCCAAGTAGGAATCCTAATTCAAATAGGATTCCTAATACAATTAGGACTTCTAAAATAAATATGAATCAATAACTGAATTAAACTGATAAACAAGATTGGGACGACTTATTGCACCTTTGCCTAGTGTTATCCCTTTAGGACTTAGCAGATCCCACAGCCAATTACCAAACCGACGACACACTTTGATCCTTTACTCTAGCTGAATCCTCTAAACTGGGAAGCACCTCTAGAATAGCCCATCACAAAACCATGGGGCTGAGAGCATAGGCTACTCTAATTAGGGTTTCTTATTTTAGACCCTTTTAAAAACCTTTGGGGCAACCCCTTAGCCAAGATAAGGCCAAGTGTGCCCCCTCTATACACCCTATGTGATGGGTGTAGGGGTGGAAACGGGTCGAGTCTGGGTGGACCCGGACCTACGATATTCCACTTAGGATTAGGATTTAGTTTGACCAAAAGATTTGCTGGTAGTCTGTGACATGAAAGAGAAACAAACCAGAGTCATCCATATCTGAAATCAACCATCATGATTTAGGAAGGATTCTAAGAAATTCATCCCCTGAATCTTTGTCCCATATTCACTTCTAGTCAAACTAGAATAAGACCAGTCAAATCTCATCTTCTATATTGACTAGAGTTTCTTTTTCTCTCACAAAGATATTGTAAAATTCAAAGTCCAAAAGTCATAGTAATATATTTTTCAACCAACTAAATATTTCAAGATCTTACTTAGTATCGTTGAGAAGATATCCCAAACACGTGGGAGATCTTTCCCATCCTCCAGGGGTCCATAAAGTCTTAGAAAGAAGGGGGGCATCCCACTTATGTGGGGTGCATGGCGCATGTGGGCCCCATGTCCCACTTCATATTCGTCCCGTCACATGTGGGGGTTGGCCCCCACGTGGGTCCCACAATACACCCACAAATCTCCAAAATATTAGGTCTGCCATTTTTAGAGTTTTAGTGCATAAAAACAAATTTTAAAATATCTAAAATCACAGGAACATTAATAAAGTTGAAAATGGTATTTATGAAGTTCTAGAAAATTCTAAAACACTTAAAAATAGCTTTAAAAGTAAATTGGTACCAATGGGTCAAGAAAAGTGATTGTCAGGCACTCCACCATGCTAGAAACCGAGATCCACAACTATCTTTTAAAACCAACCCAACTGGATCATAACCCACAATCATGCATATGGGCTAATGATTGGCCCATCAAAGCTGGCAAAAAAACAGTAGAACCACGATCCTAATATGTGGATTACAGGTTCCCCCCAAAACAAGTCGCATGCATATGTCACCATAGTGCAAAGGGGACTCTCTATGCAAATGTAAAGGTATCCCTCTATAGGTTGTTTCCCAGAATGTGCCTGCTAGATGTAAATGTTGTGCGTAAGTTTTTTGAGGATTTGGCCCTCACTCTTATAAACCTCCCTCTATAGGTTGTTTCCCAGAATATGCCTGTTAGATGTAGAAGTTGTGCATAAGTTTGTTGAGGATTTGACCCTCACTCTTTATAAGCCTGCAACCGCACATAAGCGACTATGAAGCTTTCCTAGGCTACAAACCATCCCTAGGTATCTCTCTAATCTCAACAAGGGATGTCTATCCAAGAAACCCTCAACAGTAGTGACTAGGCTAGGGGAAAAAGGGGTTATGGACAATAACCCAGGCCATACACCACCAAAACCTAGGTCAGTCAACCAACATGCACTCCACTGAAGTGCACAATTCATAATATTTATTATATTTACATGCTCTCACAGGCTTTAAAGGCCACAAACCCCAGCAAGGTGGGCCTATGATAACAGAAATTAGGACTTTCTTACTAAGGGAAAGAATGATCACATTCTCAAGGGAATACCATGATGCTCTACTTGGTCTTACACAAAATGTTGAACAAGCACAAGCCAAACTTAAAGAGCACATCTACTGAAGGCGCCAGCCACAAGAGAGCTGTTAAGCCAGCTTTACCACCCACAGCAGTCAGCCAACGCGTGGGTGTAATGGTTGAGCCAAAACTCAACAAGGCCCTCACAAAATCTCAAAATAAGAAGATGGTGAAACCCCACTGGGGAATCATTAAAAAAAATCAAATAAAAAAATCAAATGAAAACCCAAAATGGCATTCGAGACCTCCTATACAGTTAAAGTCGAGCTGGTGTTCAAGTTAATAAAAGGGCATAACTTGACAGACCACAAATGACTTCCTTGCATAAACACAAAGGACCTCAACCATCAGTACTTCAAAAGTCAATAGTGGAGGAAACAAAATTTGGAGTCTAAGGAACCTCAAAATACCAAGGGCAGTGCCCAACACTCTCCAAGATGCAGGCCCACTAAAAACTCCAAAAAATCTCTCTTTGTATTTGTTGGGTGTGTTTTTAGTCACATATGAGACTAATTCTAACCAACCTTTAAAAAGATATCGATATGGAAAGCACAAGCCTTTAACTGACGCTTGATAGAGGTGCTAATAAAAATGTGAGTTTTACAACAAACGCTGGGTAAGCTGTTTTATAACAAATGCTGGATAGAAAATATATAAGTTCAACAAGCTTAGCTTTTGAGATATATCTTGGATGATAAACATGTTTCTTAGTCACCATGTAAGACTAAATGTGTTCTAACGAACGCTTGATAGACTAAAGATGTCAAATATATAGCGAAGGTTGTAACGCACGCTGGATAACTGTCTTAACAAATGGTTGATAGGAAATGAGCATGGTTCTTGATAACACGTGGCTCAGATATGCCCCATGATATGAAGATATGAAAGATATGATATGGCCATAATACCAAGATTCATCATACGGACGCCCCAATATGCCTTCAGAGTCTTGACTCGTTAGTCTGTCCCTATATCTCCCGACTTACGATCGATAAATGATATGATACCAATAGCTCGTTAGTTAAGCATGTTCAATTTTAACTTACGGTCGATGATAGAAGATATGAAAGCCATCTCATTGTGAGACAAGTTCTAGGATACATATGCTCCCAGTGTTTCAAAAAGCGCTAAGCGGTCGGGGGGGGGAGGCAAGCGCCTAGGTGGGCTCCCAGTAGAAATTTTTTTTTTTTAGGTTTTCTCTCTCTAAAATAGCCTTTAATGGGTTTTAGGTTTCAAATGAACCTAAAACCCATAATTTTTCCTTTTTAGTATTAAAAAAATGACCCAAAATACTCTCAAGGAGCCGCATTTTCGCCCTTGGGTGGGGCGCAGGCCCTAGGCGGCCGCCTAGGCGGGTTCAGGTGGTCGCCCAGGGATATCTGCCTAGGCAGCTGCACAAGCGCTGGGCATTCCGCTTTTTGAAACAGTTTATGCTCCTAAGGCTCCGATATGCCGATCCATGTGATATGTGGAGGAAACTGATGGGGTTTGATATACATATTTTCCTTAATCCATCGTCAGTTGCACATATGCATCGTAACTTACGATCTGTGATAAGAGTTCATGAAGACGTTTCAATTTGAGATGAAACTCTGGGATACATATACTCCCATGGCACTTATATGCCTCTCCACTGGAGATTGGAGGAGTTTTGGGTGAGATGTGATATGCCACTTTTAATCC